GCAGACAGCAGAGTGGAGAACATTTTCTTATGGGTGTAAAAAGGACTGATTTTTAGCATTGGGAAGGGTGGGCAGATAGAGACATCTTGGTTTCCAGCTGTTTTTTTAAGGGGCAGCTGCAGGCCACAGAAACTGCTTGTGCCCATTCGCTTCCACATGCATGGGGGTTCCAGAGGATTTGCAGGGTGGAAAGCAGAGGCTTGTTGGGCTTGCAAGATGTCAGAAGTCTTGACTGATAAGGAAGGCAAAGGAAGCTTCATTTCTCAAGGTGCTACAAGGGTGTGTTTGTACCCAGCACCCAGCTCCTTTGCTCAGGTTGTAACTGTACAGTTTGTTGAGTGTTCGGGGCTATTTCCCCCCTTGTAGTCAGTGTGGGTTACTGGGAGAGGTAGACGATAAGAGTAAAAAGGCTATTGACCTGGTGCATTGAGGCAGATGTTGTGTTTCTTGCCAAGTACTGCAAAAAGGAAAGGGGGGATTTAACAAAAGAGAAAGAGTAAAAACCCTGCTGAGCATGCCATCTTCCTTAAACTCCTGATTTCGGTTTAAAGTGGTTTCAGCTCTTCTCTCTGTACCCCTGCATACTGAGGATTCACAGCATTCCTGATCCATGAACGTTCACTGGAACTAATTTCTGATGATCAGAAATGGCACATGGTACACACCATTAGGACATGGCTGTACCTAGCCGAGGGGCAGTTTTCAAGGTCCATTGTGTTAAGCCTATAGAAAAAAACAAACTGGTAAGGAACTGCCCCACCATTGGAATGCTGTGGTTGTACATGGCCAATTAAGGTATGAGTATGTGGGGAGAAAACTTTGATTAAACTCTGGCCCCAGCCAAAGGTTCATGCAATGGCCTGATTGAATGTATTTTTTCTTAGGAATGAAGACATAAGGAGGCCTTAGGAACAAAAAATCCCTTAAATGTATTAAACTCCCACAGCCATTTAGAGCCCCTGCAGCCACATCTCGGCACTTGCCTTTTGATTGGAAGTGTTGTGTTCCCCGCAGCGAGCAAATCGAAATCACATCATCTGGCCTGGGACTGGTCACACTGGGTAGCTGAGATTTTGACGTTGGGGTCAGAGCTGAATGCATCAGTTTAGGGAGGCTTGTAAAAAAGGACAAAATCTCCAAGTGAATTCCAATAGCAAAAGCCCCCAGTGAGTCTCAGCGTGCTCATAGGCATTCACAAGCAAAAGGCTAATTAGTCAAGTAAATGTTTCTCTGGGTGGATGAACTATAGAGGGAGAAATGCACATGTTCAGTATGCACAAAAGCAAAGTGTTCATGCAAAAAGGCAGCTCCAGCCGAGCTGCCGTGGGAATGCTGTCATTCTCGCAGCTGGGGTTGTTACTATGGAGCCCTGGGAGTTGCTGCAGAACATATATGAAGTGATGTATGGGAAATACGACAGTGCTTCGGCACTCCTGAGCCAGGGATAGATATCCACTGGCCCTGGCGATGCTGTCTCTGGCCCAGCTTGGTTTCCTTTTGGATCTGTTTTACTCTCTGGAGGGAGGGGGCCTGGCCCATGGATGCAGCAGTGGTCACCCAGGCTCTGCTGGTGCTTTGTGATCCCACTGTGCGAGTCATGGGTCTGTTGTGCGACCATAACATGTTCCCCTGCGGGTCTGCTGTAGAGGTGCCATGCTGCTGGGGCAGAAAAGTGTCATTTCAAACCTTAAAGGTTAATTCCTGGTGTGGGCTGGCATTGTTATGGACTCTGCTGCTGTGTCCTTCATCATTCTCACCTCTAGTGTCAGAGGCAAGGGTGCAGTCTCCAGCAGCTGCCAGGCCTCCTCTGTAGTTCAGTGGAGAGAGGGAGACACATCTTTGGGGCGGGGATTCGTCTCCTTTTAAGATGAGTGTCTAAGACAGGATGGAATTAATTCCTCTTTGAAAATTATCTTTGTTTTCTTTGGAGGTCTAGGAACCCTTTTCTATTTGTTTGATCTAGAACAGTTTAATCTAGAGTTCTCTGGTCCAGGACCAGAGTCCGAACCCTCAAAGGCACCTCAGAACATTTCTCCCCTCCCTCTGTTCATGCAAATGTCTGTCTAATGTCACTGGCAGGTTACCCATGAGGAAAAGCTACTGTCAACACATCAGCTTCCAAGAAAAATAAGGGCTGGTTTTGATTTAAAGAGTTTAAGCATAATTTTAACAGTGTCAACCTGAGCTAGTCTGGGTGTCCAGGCCCTTCCTCTGCCATGTGAACTTCTGGCTGTGAGCTCACATGGCTCTATCCTGGACGCACCAGCACAGGATGTGGTTATGTGGCCATCGCACTGTGTCCTTGGTAATATGTCTTTTCCCATGCCTTCCTGCAGCCAGCAGATTGGGGGTCCAAGGACTTGTTTGTGTTCAGTAGCACTAGGAAGCATCCAGCTTGTGGAGTCATGCTCCTTAAAAACAGCTGTATCTTGCCTTTTCCCAGACTGTCAGAGAAAAGGTTCTCATCCAGGAAGCCTGGATTCAGGTGGTACTACTTGCCACCTTACACATCCCTCTTGGAGAGGTTCTAGCATGTCTGGGAGACATCGGTGTCCTTTGTATGATCTAGTCATTCCTATGAATATACCTTCCTGCAGCCTGAATTCTGGTCTAGGCCCTTCAACTGGGTGTGTTGGAGACCAATCCCATGTTACAAGGATATCACAAGAACTGGTCTTCGGTTGAGATCATGGAATAGGTTCTGACACAGAAAATAAGGATGGCTATTTCAAGTCAGATTAAAGGTCTTGCCTACTCCTGTGTTGTGTCCCCAAGAGGACAAGAACAGGGTGAGCCCACAGTGATGCCTCCCTGGTACCCCTGGCCCAGCAATCTGCGCCTGGGGGCAGCCTGAGACAGAAGCAGTGCTTTTGAATTCGATGGATATTCCTTCTATTCTTTTTTCTCACCCTTTTCTTGAGCCCCTTCTAGCATCCACAGCAGCACATCATCTGCTGTATGGAGAAGTACTGAGTTGGTTTCCAGCTGCTGTGTGTTGACTGCCACTTGATGTCTCCTGCTTGTAGAAAATAAGGGCTAGCTGATCCCTATTCACCTTCTCAGCCCACTTAGGATTATTTAGACTTTTCCCAGAGCCCCCATCCATTGTCTCCCCCTGGCTGAAGAGTCCTGGTCTGTATAGCTGGTCATCTGATGGAACCTGTCATTTGAGGTCTCTTCTCTGAGTGACGGTACCTAGCTACAGCTCATCATTTTCATTTATAAAGTTAAAATTGTTTTTCTTCTGTGTACCACTTCACTTTTAGCTTCACTTAATTTCAGCTGCTGTATTTTTGCTATTTGACTGCTGTATTTTTTCATTTAGTGTGGTTATTAAAGTAGGATTTTTAACCTAAAATGTTTGTGATTCATCATTTATGCATGTGTTCTCCTGGAGACTGGCTTTTTTTTTTTTAAACTGCTCTAAACTTTTTAAACAATC